ATTAATTTCTCTCTTTAATTATTATTTTCTTCATTTGATGAGACTGCAGTTTTTGTCTTGGTTGTGCAAATTTTATTGTCAATACTTATATCCTGAACTTTTATTTGTGGGAATCTTCTCTTTTTGAACGGAAAGTATTGCAGATGTTTCGCTTAAATAGATCTTTGATTTTCATTTTTTTGATGTCACTATTTATTTATGGTTGTGTTCTTGTTTTTCGTCTCCGACTATTTTTTTTTCATTTTTTTATGAATTTTATTCCGAATAGCGCTCAGAGATTTTTCCAAACTTATAGAAATAAAATTGATCGCAATTAATCTAAACTTGTTTGCCTAACATTGATTTTGATGCTGAAGATACACTATACCGAGTGACTAGATAGTGTTGATGAGAAAGTTAATTGAGGCCAATTATTATTCTATTTCCATTTTGTCGAGATTTACTTCACATTACATCACTTGTATGCTGTATATCACTTTATCAAATGCATGAAGCAGTTTCTTTTCCTATCGTGATATTTTCCGTTATCTGTATTAATTCAGAGCGTTCGTTTTCTGCACAGTTTGGATTCAATCATCCATTTCTTCATAGTTTTGATTTAACAATCTTATGTTTATTATATAATTTTATTCGTTAGGTACGGTTTTTAACTTTTTGTTTTTGTTCTTTCTTTCGCTTCATAATTTTTTCCACTTCATATTGAAATTAATTTGTATTCTGCTTAACATTTATGTAGAAATTTTTGTTAGGAAAAATTAGGATTTTGTTTTCATATCCTTATAATACAATGAAATGCAATTAAATAAAAAAGAATTTTCTGAAATGATCACCATTTGCCCAGGCATTTGCATATTTTATGGTGCGTTGAAGGTTAAATTTGTGGATTTGTTGTGGCGGGGATCCTGTAATGTATGAAAATTTTCATTTATGAAATGTTGGGGGAAAAGAGCTCTCCAATGTTTCTTATATGGTTTTTATAATTCATGTATAAATCAATTCAAGCTATGTGTCAAATTTTTGTTTTGAAAAATAATGTTTTGATGAACGATATATATGCAAATTTGAATCAGTAGAAGAAGCGGTTATCTCGAGGAAATGCAAATTTCATTATAAATGTTTCAAACAAATCCTAAAACGCTTTAGTGATTATGTCTTACATATTTATAATATGTATAACTGGGGACAAAACTTGTGCAAATTTGTCCACTGATATTCCGAACTTTACATATATATTTGTTTTGATGTATGTATTGGAATTGAGGAATTAACTTTGGATATATTCTCATTTCCGATTAGGCATTATGCATCTTGTTCATATTTTTTTAATTTTACTTAGTTCAAACATTATCATTTTGGCTTATCTGCAAAATTAACCATTTCCTAATCTAGCAGTCTTACTTAATCCAGTAGCACCGATTGTAATTTGTTAGGCGAATATGATTTACAAGCAATCCAAAAAGTTTCACTTAATCATATTGAAAATTTATAAATTTAAATTTTTATAGAAGAAATAGCTGTATGAATCAAAAATAAAAGATCAAAATGATACGATATTAATAACTGTTTAATAATTAATGATATATATCCATCAACATTGTTTTTTGATTGAAAAGGAAGGAATCGGATAAGTATATTTCGGATTGTTATAATGGAACAGTGGGGAATATATTGAAGAACAGAATAAACTTTCAGAAGAGTATATGCATATGAAAGAATTGATGAAGTGGGGAGAATTTTTGATAAAATATCGAGAATGTGGGAGAGTTACCGTAGTAGCCGAAAGAATAAGCATCATAATCTTTTCATTCAGGAGCTTGTTCGCCATCATCTCTAATATCATCATTATCATCGTATCATCATCTGACATCGTCTGTATCACCGAACAGTGATAATTTTGTTACTGCATAATATTAATATAAACAAAAGGAGGTGAAGAGTATGGAAAAAATTGTTTGACAAATTGAAATCAAAACAAAACGAAGAAAGTAACTGTAATAACAAAACAATGAATTCAGAGATATTGATAAGGATATAACAAGGAAGAACGAATATCCTGCTATTCAGAAACAATCCTCTCGATGATTTTCAACATCAAAACATTCATTTCCATTACTTTTAGCATCTGTGACACGGTGGACAAGGAATACAGCAGCAACAGCAGTCTGTATCAAAATGCTCCCCGATAAAACATCCACAGCATAGTGCAATTAAAGCCATCAACCAACCGGAACATCCGGAATATCTCGGCCTTTCACTAAAATGCGCGGAAATTATTTGCGTACGAAAGAGAAATGGGAAAGAAGATGGTAACGATTGAGATTTTAAACGCTTGGTATTATTTGCTAGTTATATAATTCTTTATCAAACAATTTCTTTTTTAAAAATGTTTCGGTAATTCCTTACATAATTTCTATCTTCATGTTAATTGATTATAAATCATTTACATTTAATGGTTGAATTCAAGTTCTTATTCTTTCATGAAATAAAATTCTTTTTAAATAATCCTTACACAAAAGTTTACAATGCAAAAACCATCATAAATAAAGCGAAATTTACTGATAACACGGCTGTGGATAATAATAGCCTGGGGCTGGTGGATAACACTGACCTGCCGGATACGGCCCGTACGGTTGACCGGAAGGAACATGCTGCAAAAAATTAATGGAATATGAACGTAAATACAGTGACATTTCAGACAGCATAACATAGTATTATGTATGTGATAATTATAAACTATTCTAAGTTGTGCTATAGATTGCTTTTTTTGTTATTACGTTTCTAAATCTTCAAAAGGTTGAATGACATTTTAATTCAAGTTTGTAACAAATCATTAAATCAAAGCGGACAATAAAAACTGCAGTAAATTACAAATTTTTCAACTTTGTTTTCAAAAAAAAAGAATCCGCAAAAAATCTCCAACGAAATCACCAGAATGAGACTTACATTACAAAGTTTAAAATATTGAAATCAAAATGAAAAACTGGAACAAAACTGAATAAAAAATTTTAGATTTTGGCTAAATTCCTAATTTTTCAAGACAAATTTAAAAGCAAAGTAAAATTTACCATTATTAATTGGGTAATTAAACTTATATCGTATAATGCTAGCAATAATAAATGCGGAGTATTCAGAGGAAGTGACTTTTATGTGACAAGATGTCTTTCCCCTCTCTCCCTTCCCTCTCCCTCTCTCTCTCTCTCTCTCTCTCTCCCTCTCTCTCTCTCGATAGCTATTCAACCGGTTTTCGTTGATTTCGAAACATTTTGTTGAGGAAGAAATCAATAAAACACTGTTGAACTCGTGACATCCACAATATTTTTTATCCCTCTTTAAAAGAAATCGTCGCACCATTACCAATCGTATGAATCACACTCAAAAATTGGTTCCAAAATTTTCGAGTGAAACTTAAATGAAAAATTTGTTGTTTCATTTAAAACATATATTCGTATGATATCATATGTTATCAAAAAATGATTACATCATACCTTATTAAAAATTATCAGTAGACATCATCATGTTGCTAGCAAAATTTACTTTGTTATTTTTTATTTTTGCTTTACAACAGCAAAATTTTATTTGTATGTCAAACTTTGAATTAATTATCAGTATAGATTCGTATTCCATATTAATACCATCCTTATCACTGATGTTTATAGCCGTTACACACAAGTAATCTTTGAAAAGATTTTCGATTGTTTCAAAATTTATTCAAAATATGATGAAAGTAATAGTCGGATTGGTAAAATATCGCTCTATTATAATGCTGTTGATTTCTTTATTTTAACAATTTCCGAAATCTTTATGATTTCTTTATGACAAGGAATAAAAGAAATCTTTGATAAAAGTAAAGATTTTTATAGGGGCGGAAGGGGGGGGGTAAAAAAAATTTAGGAATGAGAAATGAGAGAAAAAATTTTTGCAGTAAGAGTGTTTGTTATGAGACCTTTACGGTAAGGAAAAGAAATTTGTGATAGGCGTTTTAAAGCAATATTGTGATAAGATCAAGAAACGTGGAAGAAATTGTGCAATGAAAAATACTATATGTTAATATTTGTGTTGCTTTCAATCATTGTCAAAAGGATCAAATAATATTTTACCACAAAATTACATTATTTTGTTGTACTAATATATTTGTGGCAGTAAAGAGGGAACGAAAGTTGGAAAACAAAAATATGAAGAAATAGCAGTAAAAACAAGAGAATTCAAATAAGTATGTATAAAAAGAATGACAAAAAAAAATCAAATCATTTACAAACTGAACAAAATTAATCACACATTTATATTACAATGTAAGGCAGACTCAAATGCATGTCATCTTTGAAATTATCATTTGTAAAAAATATGAATGAATTGGACAATAACTAATTTAGTACTTGCAAGCATAAATAATCTTGTTTTGGAAAATTTATATTTTACTATTTTCTTCAGTAAAATAATATCAACAGTATGATCATTCATTTCAATCATTAATTTTTTGTGGTGATTTCATATTTCCTTAGCATCTTTCGTTAATTAATTAAACTTCATATTTTTTTGCTTTTGAATTCTTCACATTATAATAATAGAGATTTTATTAACCAAGAAAAAGCTGAAAATTTTATGAAAATTTGCAAGCATGAAAAACAGCATAATTTCCTAATACCGTCTTTCTCATCTTTTTTCCTCTGTATTACATAATTTTGATAATTATAATAAATATGTTTGAATATTTGTGCGACTGTAGAACATAGTAAAATTTAGCCGATAATTTTTCATCGAAAAAAATGCAACATAAAATTAAATTACAAAAATGAATATTTTGTAAAAAGATAAACGAAATTTTACACAAAGAAAAACAAGCATCTAAATTTTATTTTATGCATTTTCACTATATTTGAATTGAAAGTAAACATTTTCAAGTGAAATCCATTTAATTTATTACTATTTTTTTCGTTTTCCTTTCGATTACAGCAAACAAAAAAGAATGAAAATATAATTTATGGTTTCCTGAAATATAGCAGCTATACAAGAGTGTGTTTGCAGTGAATTCGGCCAGTTTCACCAGGTGGCAATTGTGGTTGATGTAAGGTGTGCTGAACTTCAGTCGTTGTGAATTGTGCTTCGCGTGCGTGATCTGTGGATGATGACGAAGACTGATGCGGTAATAAACGGCCCGGAAGAATGCTTGAGCGATCTTCACTGATGTTAACACGCATCAAAAATTGCTGCAATAAGACGTCGGCATTTTGAAATTCAGTGAAAATTGACAGTTATCATAAGAGAAAGAATTAGTAAGGAATGCCAATAAAATTAAAGGAATGGATTGATTAATTTGAATTATATATTTTATTCAATGTCCATTCTTCAGTTAAAAAGTCATGTATAACTTGACACTTAAACAAGCTATGCTTCTTATTTTCATCCTAATCCTTTGACCTAGGCAACTTATTCTCCACAGTTATTGCTTTTTAATTGATCAATTCTTAATTGATCAAGCACGCTTTCAAAAGCAATTCTATGCTGATGATTAAGAAACTGCCCTTTAAATTTCGCATTTTCTTAACTTTAATCAATCTTACTACACCATCCCATCCGTAATGTCGTTCAAAATTGGAACTTTCTGATTTATCCTACTTATTCTAATCGCAGGAAAATTTAAGAGAAAATACCTGAGTGTCTGACAGTCGTGCATAATATGGTATTGCATAATTGATTGATTTTCTGTGCTAAATATAAATTGAAATCATTTATATAAAAAGAACAAACATCTCTAAATTACACAACTGTTTTTCAGAAGAAAAGATGAACAAAAAAATATTATAAATGAAATGAATTTTACCCTTTGGAAATGCTTGCCATGAGATGTGACGCATTCCGAATCGGTATAATACAATCTTGGATCTTCACCAACAATCATTCGAGATTCTGAATCACTAGCTGTTTGTGGTCTTTGCACTGCTTCTGAATGATGCGCTTTTGGGCCTGTTTCCCGAAGAAAAATTCGAACTTCTCCTTTATCCAATTTAATTTGCGGACTGGTTTTATTCACATCTAAACTCCGATTTCCTTCATTCATTTCTTTTTTATGCTCCTCATCAGTGTCAGATATCATTGCCGGAATATGTATTTCCGGATGAACGACGATACTTGCACCATTCGGCTTCAATTGCTTTATGGTTTCTTCTTGTTCTATTCGTCTTACATCCGATTTTCCATATATGTCTTTCCCATCGTTAATCTTTTCATGCTTATTCTTCCTGCAAAATTCGAAATATTTCTAATACTAAAGCTAAAGAATCC